GCTATCTGGGAGGAAAACAGACCATCTGGATTTAGAGAGTAGGACCCATCTATGCCTTATGGTAAAAATCCTCCAAGGGAACCAAATTTATTTTTAATTAATTTTTATTAAATTAAAAATAATCTGATTTTACATTCCAATCCCAGTTCCCTCTCCTTCCAGACCTCCCATTCCCCCCACCAATTCCCCATGTACTCCTCAGGGAGGGTGAGGCTTCCCATGGGGGAATCATCAAAGTCTGTCCCATCATTTGGGGCATGAGCTAGGCCCTCCCCAATGTATCTAGACTGAAAGATTATCCCTCCATAGGGAATGGGCTCCCAAAGCCCATTCATGAACTAGGGATAAATACTGGTTTCATTGCAAGAGGCACCATAGACTGTCCAAGCCCCCCAACTGAAACCCACATTCAGGGGGCCTGATTCGGTCTTATGCTGGTTTCCCAACTGTCAGACTGGGGTGTGTGAGTTCCTACTTGCTCAGGTCAGCTGTTTCTGTGGGTTTCCCCAGCATGGCCTTGACCCCTTTGTTCATCACTCCTCCTTATCTACAACTGGATTCCAGGAGTTCAGCTCAGTGCTTAGCTGTGAATTTCTGCTTCTGCTTCCATCAGCTACTAGATGAAGGCTCTATGATGTCATTTAAATTAGTCATCAATCTCATTATAGGGGAAGAGCATTTAAGGTAGCTTCACTATTGCATAGGTTCTTAGTTGAAGTCATCCTTGTGGATCCCTGGACATTCCCCAAGTGCCAGATTTCTCATTAAGCCCATAATGGCTCCCTCTATTGAGGTATTTCTTTCCTTGCTGTCTTTCTCTGTTCTTCCCCCAACTCTACCTTCCTGATTCCTCATGTTCTCTTCTGAATTTAATTTGATGACTGATTCTCATTCAGCTGAGGCACCAGGAACTTCCAGATTGGCATGCTGATGGAATCCAAGGGTGGAGACCATGGATGGGTTTTGCACTCAAGGCCCCCTCACCACGGATTAATACTGCTCATTTTGTAGAGCTCCTGGCTCTCAGCCCTTCTTTCACACCCAGCCCATTAACTCACACTCTAGCTCTCCACAGCTTCATTAATGAGAGAAGGGTAATTGAGTGATATCCATTAAGTTTCAAAGCAAACATCTGGTTTGCAAAATCTGTAATGTTTTTCTTTTCTACTTTTTCTGGCTTCTAAGAAGAACCTCACATTCAGTACCACGATGGGAGGTGTAATTGAGCTGTTCCCCAATGACAGCATAACTGCCTTGCTTTGTGACAGCACAAATAATTATTTATAAAGCAGGTGGTCTGCCTAAAAGTCCAAATAAATGTCCCAGGTATTCTTAGACATGCTTTGTGGTGGATTGCTCTCCTCTCTGGATGGAGTGAGCACTTCCCAGATCTCTGTTAATGTGATGGATGCCCTAACAGCTGTTTCTATGGACGTCTTTACCTTCGTGTCTTCTTTCTGCTTTTCAACTTGTAGAAGATCGATCCTGTCCCTGCTTCCAATGCACCGTACATCAAGGCACACCGAGTTCTGCATTCTGTTGATAATACTGTGTCCAAGGAGACCAGTGTGAACTTGGCTTATTGTCCTTGCTTTTTCCCACCAGAAAAGAGGGCAGAAGACCTGCCAGCGCTGTTGGCTGGGAGAAAAGATGGAGATGAAAATCCTGCACATCAAGTTGTGCATAAACATGCACCCAAATTCTCATGGGGGTCTCTGAATTAATTTATGCGTACATTGTATCTGCCTCTGTTTCAGTATGTGTTTTTGTTTTGTCTTCTCAAAATTACCCACACATTTCCAAATGCCTGGATTTTACTCCTGTGAGAGTAACAGATTTTATGCAAAAGAAACCTAACTGGATCAATTTAAGCTCAATAAATTTAAGTAGCCATATTACAGATATTTCATGTATTTCATGGGCATAGTGGTTATCCAATCCCAAGCGGACAGACCAAAAAATGTATGTACAAACAACACTTTAACAAATTCAGGTGATTGCTGAGTATATGTGTGTGTATGTGTGTGTAAAAATAATAATTAAAGAATAAAAGTTTATTAATTTGAAAAGGGAATTGGGAATAAGGGAGGGGGTAGAGGGAGGTGGGTATGATGTAATTATTTAATTTAAATAATTAAAGAAATTAATTTTATGAGACAAAATTAATGGAGAATTTCACATTTACAATAGCTTTCAGTTTTTCCAAGGTTTCCCACTATGTTTCTAATGCACATATCATTTCTTTTGTAAAGCAGGGCACATTTATTTCTTGGTAATTATTTGTAGGTATTTTTCAGTGTTTTTGAGACAGGGTCATGCTGCATTGTCTAAGATGGTCACAAACTGGAAGTCCTCTTGTTTCAGTCTCTGGAAACAGAAATTATCAGAGAAAGAACTACCTGGGAGTTAAATGTGGCTACAGAGGCCAACTGTATAATGAGGCATTTTAAATTAGTAAAGGTACTAATAAGATGAGTGATTAGATATAAGCCAAAGTCATTTTATGGAATAACTCGGGAATCCTGTTCATAATCAGGAAAACTGGAACATCCTTGAAATCCACACTGCTTAGAAGGCTGAATAAATCTGCTTAAGGAACAGTACTAACAGACAGAGGAAAAGTGAGCAGTCATGAGAAAGTTTAAGAACAAGTATAACAGTCCTGCGTGTGTAAAAGAATAGGTTCAGTCCACCTGTATTCATAGAGAAACTATTTACTTAAATTTCAACCATATACTGGGTATGAGTTCTAGTTGCATGGTAAGCATTGGCATAGCAGGAGTCACCCCTGTACTGGACAGCTGCATGTTTCTAGCAGGGTTTACACATCTGGAGAGCACAGCACACAAAGTAACTTAGTGGCAATATTTTCTGCTTTGTCCAAGGAGACCTGATCTTCTCCATACACCTCCAGAAGGAAATAAGCTCTGATACTGTCAGGATTCTCCAATTAGCTAATCTGTCTCTAGGGGTTCATCTCACCAACTGTTACTATTATTCAATTGCAGCGAAAACTGAGACCCTTAACATGAGGCCTGTTATGTATTTTTTATCTTTCCTTTCTTGATCATTTCCCTGTTTTCCTATGTCCTTACACATGGGTACCCATTAAGGATGGGCAAATGGCTTAACTCGGAGGGTTTGTTGCTTGCCTCCTCCCCCACTCTGCTTAAAAGTCTTCGCTGTACATAATGATTTAGAGACCTTTATCAACTCTTATCTTTCACCTTTAGCTGTGAACCTTGCCCCATTGGTTGAGAGAATAGCCCCTGAAAGCAGGAAGTTATCACAACTAGTAGAAAACTTGGAAATAATCATATGAAGCATGAAGACACATCACACAACAGTTTTGAAGTTTTAGACCATAACACAATCTCCAGGGTCTTGGTAAGAGAGACACATCTGGGTCCTGCTTGCAGAGTCAGTCTGGACCATGGGAAGAAAATTTGTCCTCTACCATGCTTCCAGGTGATACTGATGTTGAAATAAAATAAGACCATGGGCATCTAGGATGCTGTCACTCACATATTCCTATCTATTCCTTGAGTTGTTCTAGACAATTTGCTTGTTTTCCAACAAGCCTAGTGTCAGCCAGGCAGTGGTGGCACACACCTTTAATCCCAGCACTTGGGAGGCAGATACAGGTAGATCTCTGTGAGTTCAAGGCCAGCCTGGTCTACAGAGCAAGTTCCAGGACAGGCCCCAAAAGCTAGAGAGAAACCCTGTCCCGAAAAACCAAAAAGAAAAAGAAAAAAAAAAAGGAAGAAAGCCTACTGTCTCTTGTGCAGTGCTATAAGCCCTGCATGGAAAAATGCAATAAATCTTAGATTGCTGTTGCTGCCCATGTTCATCCAATATATAGTATAGGAAAGTTGCAGTTGATAGAATTAGCAGGAGTCTAGAGTGATGGCTAGAGCCTGAAACTAGCTGCATCTGTGTAGCATAACTGGTAAGTATTTGGTGCCAGGGTGGCTCTCAAAGATGACTTTCTATCTTTATCTGTAGAAACTCCATTTGTGTGTGTGTGTGTGTGTGTGTGTGTGTGTGTCCGTCTGTCCATCCATCCATCCATCTGTCTGTCTATGTGTGGTACATATATTCCACAGTAAGCATGAGAACAGCCTAGAGTTTCAGACCTGAACTTTGATACTGTCTGAGGCAGGGTTGCTTACATCAGGCTATCTGGTCCTGGAGTCTCAGGGATTGCCCTGTTTCCACCTCCTATCATTCTGGAAGAGTGTGGGGATTACAGGAGCTCACTGTCATGTCAGTTTTGTGGGATCTGGGAATCTGAACTCACATCCTCATGCTTGTACACCAGGTGCTTATCTACTGAGAGTCTCCCCAGCATTAGGTCTCTGTTTCCAGAGAATGAGAAATAGACTCTTTTTTTTAAAATACATTGGTCAACTGTATCTTGCCTCTCTGGCAATGACTCAAAGTGAAATATAGTGATGCTATTTGAGCTCTTTTTCACCCAAGTTATAGAGAATTATAAGTTCATAAAATCTTTGTCAGATATCAAAGTTATTGATATGGTCAGAAACATGGTACTTAGGATCAAAACTTTAAATCAGTTCTCCAGAGTATTAAGACATTTCAAAACAAGACGCCATTACTCTGTTGAAATTTATTCTGATAATAAATAATAGCAATTTAAATCTTGTTTTAATTATTATTTTATAACCAATTAAATAATATTTAATGATCTAAAGCACCAAAATATTTTTATACTACATATTAAAATAGTGAAATTCATATATAACTTATAGGATAGTTTTTCCATGGTAGGTTATTCAATAAATAATTAATAAGTCTCCTGGGGGCATTATCTGAAATGGAAATTCTTTTATGTGTATGAACTAATCTTTCCAGAGTATAACGGGTAACACATCAGTCCTAGATTCCATAAGATGACATTACAGCACCTCCATATGTTGTAAATAAGACTGTTTTCTATTATATTACTGCCAAATCCTAAAATATTGATCTGTTTTTAGTGAGGAGACTGATTCAACCCAGACCAACAAGCTGGATCTCAACCCATGAAGCCCATGATCCCTGAAGAGCTCTTATCACAACCTCCACTAGCTGGGACATCCATGTGATACACGGGCAATCCTCACCTACCAGTCATGCTTGCTGCAGGAAGCTACTGACCATCTCCTTTGCCAAAGTACACAGCTCTGAATAAAAGTGATGTCTAAAATAGAGCACAAATGGCAAGAAGGGAGGCTTGTTCACTTAGTGGAATGAACACAATTCCCAAAGCCCATTTACATTGCAGTTCCACCATGTAAAATACCAGAGCAAAGCTTTCAGATAATCACAGTACACTTTTCTAGCATCCTTTCTTGAATCTAGTAGTTCAAATACTGTTGTTACTTTTCCCATGTCTTGGCAAAGAACCTAAGACAGTAAGCATAGAAATTGTTGGCCCCCGAATGGGGAAGGGATGGAGAGGGAAAGCAAAGAAAGAGATTTCTTAATAGAGGAAGTCATTATGGGTTTAAGGAGAAACCTGGTGCTAGGGAAATTCCCAAGAATCCACAAGGATGACTCCAGCTAAGACTCCTAGCTGTAGTGAAGATAGTACCTGAACTGGCCTTCCCCTGTAATCAGATTAGTAACTACCCTAATCATCATCAGAGAATCTTCATTCACTAACTGATGGAAGCAAATGCAGTGACCCACAGGCACGCACTAGGCCGAGCTCCTGGACTTCAGTTGAAGAGAGGGAGGAGGAATCATATGAACAAAGGGGATGGAGAGCAGGATGGGGAAAACCACAGAAACAACTGACTCCAGCTAGTGGGAGCTCACAGACTATGGACTGGTATCTGGGGAAACTGCATGGGACTGAACTAGGCCATCTAAATATGGGTGACAATTATGTTGCTTGATCTTATTGGGGGATCCCTGGCAGTAGGACCAGGACTTATCCTGGGTGCATGAACTGGCTTTGTAGAGCCCATTCCCTAGGGTGGGATACTTTGCTCAACCTTGATGCAGGGGTGAGAGGGGCACTTGGCCTTGTCTCAACTTGGTATGCCAAACTTGGTTGACTCCCCAAGTTAGGTTTGCTTTTCAGTTTGAGTTCCACTAGAAAACTGTAAGCATTGGGTAAATATTGCTGACAAAATATACATCTTTCATAACCAGAGAAAGGGTTGTACCCAGAGATCTTTCAGGCTGTCAACAAAACCTTGGTTCTTCATCTTTTCCATTCATGGATTTTTCATCACCACCTTATCTCTGTCACCTTTTGAAGTTCTGGAGTAAACTGAAGGTGGTATCGATTTTTTTTACATAAAGTTACAAGCCCTGTAAATAGTGGAATTTCCCCCACTGAACACTACATCACAGAAGCATGGGGTTCATAGAAGGACATGTGAGGAGGGACAGGTCACTGTTGGTTGCATTTATCATCAAGGCATGGGGGAAAATAATCCTTTTGGTCCTTCTCAGAGGTTAAGCTTGGCTTAACACTGAGCTCAGCTATTTTAATAGTCTTTCTAACAGAGGGAAAATATTATTAGCTATTCTGACGTTTGATTTTTAATTATTAATTTGACACAGACTAGGGCCACCTGGGAAGACAATACCAATGCAGGACTGTATGAATCAGATTGGGCTGTGGCAATGCGTGTGTGGGAGCTTCTTCATTACGTTAATTGATGTGGGAAGATCCAGTCTACTGTGGGTAGCATCATTCCCAGTGTTTGAGTCCCGGCCTGTTTAAGAGTGGAGGTCGGCTGAATAGTAAGCACGCATGCATTCATTTTCTCTGCTCTTGGCTATGGGTGTGATTAATTGCTTTATGTTTCTCCCTTGAATTCCCTGCAGTGATGGGCTGAAGGAATTTGTGAGATAAAATTCCCTTTCTTCAGTAAGTGGCTTTTCTCAGGGTATTTTATCAGAGAAAGGAAACTGGGTCAGTTATCAAATTAGGAAAATGTTGGTCATGAATAAAGGATATCTGAAATTTAATTTGGATAAAATCTGTTCCACATTAAGTTAGTTATGACAAAAAAGAGGCTGATGTTAGGTCATGAATGGCTGTAAGTGCCAACATAAAGCATATGAAATATACCTATAAACTGGATTTTGTTTAGGCTCCAGAAAGAAAACAATCAAATGACAACACTGTGCTCTGAGAACTTACAAACCAGACAGGCTTCCGTGGGAAAGAAATCACAGAAGGAGAAGCCAGTCAGGAGGCTGTTGCCATAGAAGCTGAAGTATGGGGGAATGGGGAGGGCATGAAATCTGCCTGCCAGTCTTTCCCTTATTAATACTTAGCACCAGTTTGCGACAGAATGAGGAGTTCCTGAGTTATCAAAGGCAGCAGCCTGTGCATTCTTTTGAAGCCTTAAAACTGGCTTCTCCTTCAAGGGAAACATTTGGAGCCCATGAGAAAATCACGCCTCCACCAGGAACCACAGAATTCCCCTGGCAACTCCCCAGGGCCTTGAGAGGTGAGGAAGTGGACTTAAGTAAATGGCACCATTGAATCTTCCCAATCTTCTCTAGTTTCCAGTCTAGTGTTTCATGTAGGTTATGCATTGCTTACCTGGTTTAGAGTGAGTTTAAATACATGGAGTCCATGTTGGCCAGGACCGACGTGATTTTTAGGGGACGCCAGTAAAACTGCAACATTGCAGTGGGAAAGGAAAGGGTCTAGGACACTTCATCAAAGGGAGAAGTCACTTACAGGAGAACTGGGAAGTGCTCTATGGTCTCCGAACTGCAGCCAGGATCCAAGAGAGAGATTTACTTTCCATTTTCCCTTTTATCTCTCACCTGTCCCACGTCCCTTGAGGCGTGGACAGTATCTGGGTACATGAGCTCTCCCCTACACTCCAGATAGAAATTTCTCAAGCTCATCATCTCTAAACCCCATGCTGTTCTTATTCCCATGGTCCTCTTTCTTACCATTGCATCCCTAATGCTGACCTCAGACATGATTCTGCCCTACGGTTTCCTCCAGACTCTCCTGGTGCTTTCCTTTGATGTCCCCACTGTCCTGCTTTTCTCATAGATACTGCACTAATTTGTCCCTCTATTCTCTCTTCCTTCTTAAAACGTGTCCTGAATGAAGTCTACATAATTCTAATACACAGGTTTAGTCCTCTTTCATTGGTCCTCACAATGACACTTTTGATTTCTCTCTGTGTAGGTTTCCTCAGGGATCTCAAACTCCACCCTGCCTTATACCCTATGTCACTGTTACTTCACCTGAGACCACTCTCCTGATTTGATAACCCGACATATTGAACATCTCCATCTGGCTAAATATAACCCACGACTCTTACTTCCAGTGTTTTGTTTGAAGCTGCTGGTTGATATTGGTTCTGAGGTTCAGGACACTATTCCCCAGACTCCTTAATCATTGGCATGGATCTCTCAGATCTAACCAGTTAGAGTCATTAGAGGAAGGGGAAGGAGAAGCTAGCACAGCTTTTGTGTGCCTCACCTCACATGCCCTTGAGTAGCTTCTGAATTGTAACATGGTACCCCAAGTCAAATGGCCCTTGTTGAGGACAGCTATCTGTCAGCTTTCTCCATTTTCTCATCTATATCTATCTATCTATCTATCTATCTATCTATCTATCTTGTATCTATATCTATCATCTAATCTCTTCCTTCTGTTTTGTAGATGTGTGGATACTATGCTGTGTGGTTTACACGTGTGGTGTATGTGTGAATGGTATATATGCAGCCAGCAAGTCCCATCGATCTTCTGGTCTTCTTCCCTCCCATAGCTCCACAGGCACAAGTATACATGGTCATGCCTGGATTTTATGTAGGTGTTGAGGATTTGAACTCAGGTCCTTGTGCATGCATACCAAGTGTTGTAATCCACTGAGCCATTTCTCAGCATCTGTCTTTCATCTTTGGTGCTTTGGGTCTTTGACAAGTCATAAGAGCCACTAATTTTGACTTAACTCATGTTCAGGAGTAAGACAGAAATTAACATGAGTGTGATCACTGAAGACCTCACCCTCATCCGTGGAAACATGAAGCTCCCTAAAACTGTGGCCTCTGGATGCTCCATGCTGGGAAATAAGGCAGGAAGTAGTTGCCTTCCTGAAGCCTCTAGTTTGGGTTTCCTCCTCCTTCTCCTCCTCCTCCTCCTCCTCCTCCTCCTCCTCCTTCTCCTTCATGCCCTTCCCATGTACTTGTTCCTGCATCCTGGGATCGCTTATCAAATAGACTCTCTGTGTTCATTCACATCCATGTCCTGCCTGCTTTCAGGGGAGTGGTGACTACAGGCACCTCTCAGCCCTTCTCCCAGACCCTCAAGTTCATTCCATAGGAGCAGCATTCACTGTACTGCTAGACTCTTCTCTTTCCGTGTACCCTTTAACCCATTTTTCTTTCACTTTTAAAGTAGGATTTATCATCTTTCAATATGTTACTTGAGCTACTTATTTGTTGTATGTATGGTTTACCTGTCCTTACTCTAACATAAACTCTTTAAAGGCATTTGGTCTTATTTATTCTGTTCCCAGGTGCATCCAATCAAATGCCAAACAAGAATCAACTAAAGGAAGCAAGAGTTTATTCTGACTTAAAGTATGCTGTGGTGAAGAAGAAATGGTGGCCGATGCATAAGGCAGCTGGTCACATTGCATACACACTCATGAAGCAGAGGACAGGAAATGGGGCCAGTCCACAGTCCCTAAAGCTCCAGTTCCCACCCTGCAGTGACCCACTTCCTCCAGTGAGGCTCTGCCTTCTAAAGCTACAACCTTCCCAAACAGTGCCACCATCTGCGAACCAGCTCTTCAAATACGGAAGCCTGTGGAGGGCACTTCACATTCAAAAACACAACATCGACATGGTCCAAGTACCTAAGTAAGTATCTGTTGGATAGCAGGATCCCAATGTTACTCAGCTGGACAATTAATTTTCATACCAATATTTCAGTCTCCTCACCTTCAATGTGAGAAAAATAATCTTACATTTAAAAATTAAGCAGAGATTAAATGAGCCAGTTAAAAGCAAAGGCTTCACAGCACAGTGCGGTGTAAAAGCACAGGCTAAGCATTGGCTCTGCCTGATTCCTGCGTGTGTCAGCGCAGCACCAGAGTCTATAAAGTGACTAAGCAGGAAGGAGATATGTGTGCCCTCAGGTCAATGTGTAACTGCAAACATGCATTGTTTCATCCTAGACAAAGCTTGGGTGCACAGGGCTGTCCAGCTCAGCTGCTCGTCTTTCTTCATCATGAGCATGTGCTGCGAAAAGAGACATGCTGCCTCCTGTGGAAAGTGGGCATATATCATCAAAAATCTGGGTTTTTATGATTAAAATTGAACCTCCACACACTTTACCTTTAGTAGAAACAAAAGAGTTCATAAAGAAAGTTTGTGTGCCAGAGAGACAGATAAGAAGTTAATTAATAGAATGTGTCCTGAGCACCATGACCAGAAATTCATTGTTTCATAGAATTTACTTCTCACATTTTGATCTACCCTCCCCTCACCACACACACCTCCAATAGCCTGTTCCCTTCCTCGGCAAAACCACATCATTGCTTACTCTCATAGGTTGGCTTGAGAGAGCCTCCTGATCAGGGTCTTCTGCATGTATGGGGAGGAGGGACCAATGGTGGCCAGGCTCAGCAGCATATGTGGGATGGGAAAACCAATGATGAATTAGACAAAAACCCATTTCTGCTCCCAGTCACAGGACAACCAGATACAAAATAAGTAGGCAAACCAGGCTTGCGGGGCACTTTGTAGTGCTAGGTACATATTAGACTGAGGCAGGAAAATTGCTTGAGCCTCGGAAATCACAGCCAACCTGAGTCCCATAGCAAACATCCTGGTGGAGTGGAAGGACAGATGACAAGGGCTCCAAAATGTAAGTGGATGGGTGGCAGGGCCCAAGATTGGAATCCTATTTACCTGACCACTAACAGACAGAGGGCACCAGCCTCTCCACTCATCTTTATGGAAAATGCAAAGCCACACAGAGGGGAAAGCTCCTTTGTCCTGTTTTAGTGAGCCTTCAGGTCTCTGGACTGTTATCCAGGAAGGTTGAATCTTTTTCCTCCTCCTCCTCCTCCTCTTACTCCTCCTCCTCCTCCACTTTCAACCTGTTCTCTTTTACATTTTCCAAAGGCTGTGTATACAGAACAGAAGACAAAAAAAATTCCCCAAATGGACCTCACGCTGGCAAGCTCCTGGTGCTATCAAATGGAGCTTGTGCATTCTGTTTCAAATTTTCCTGAATGAGAACCCTGTGGTCCACAATAGTGCTTTCAACCTGGGGGACTGGGTGTTCTCTGGGAAAGGATGTTGGGCCATAGGAGCAAAGCAATGCTGGCCAAATGGAATTAGCCAAAAATCAAGAGTCCCTCTTCAGGCAGTGGTGTCTTGTCTAACCTGGATATGTAGAAATCAGAGTCCACTTTACAAGTATTTGGAAACACAGTTCTTTGCACCCCAGCCCATCAGGACACAAAGAGGATTCTACCAGGCACCAGCAGATGGAACCCAGCTGGAACTCGAGTCCTATCAGCTGTTCTCGTCTGACTATGCCTCTCTCCACTTAACTACAAAGAGCGTATCAAGCTCTCAATTTCGTATTTAAGTTCAATATCAAACTGTGTTTCCTTATTTTCTCTTACAAGGCCCATATATGGTATTTTTTTTCTTTGCTTCCATAGGGCAGATTCTCTCTCTGCACCCGTGTCTGCAGCAGGGGCTGGGTTCCTGCTGTCTGGAACGTGGGCCCCTTCCTCCCACCTACTGCCTCCCTGTCTGATGCCTGGAGATGTTCTCTCATCTCATTATGCAGAAAATAGAGAAATGGCTGCATCTCCTTGAATTTCCCATGAGCACATTGTAAGACTGAGGCAGGAAGTCGATGAAGAATCAGTCAGTGCAGAGCACCTAGGACCCTGACTGCTTCTCGGTGAGCACTGGATAAATATCCGCGTAGTCATCATTACCGCTAAAAAGCACTTGAGCTTTGGAGTCCTGTCACACTCAAAGTAAATCTAATTTGAATGCTGCCTTGGCCACTTGCTGTTTATGCCGAGTGAGTTAGTGATGCTTTCTCAGCTATGAAATGAGCAGCATCGTGCATCATCCATTTCATAAAAATTTCTAAAAAAAAAATCTACAAATTTTCAATCTGCATGCCCAAACAGAAAGCACACACTAGTGTTTTTAATTTGTCTTCTCCTTTTAAATCTCAGCTCTTCTACTGTTTTCTTTGTATTGAGACATTGTGAGTAGACTTCAGTGGGTCTGAGATGGTTATGCAATACACAGCGGGCAGCTATCAAAGCAGGATGAAATGTATCCACTGTTAACTCCCAATCACTTCTCTGTTGGGAAGCTGACACTTTAAGCCCTGATGTTTGGGCTCCTATAGTTCTGTAGTATGACTTGATTAGATGCCAAGATGACTCTAGTACTGTCGTTTCTATTTGTTTGTTGTTTCCATCAATGCCTCTTCGCTTTATTTTTTTAAACAGGATCCCACACTAAACCTGGAGATGACCATCCCATCTACACCAGCTGGCCAGTGAGCCCCAGGGGTCCACTGTTCTAACTCCTGGATCTGAAATTAGAAGTGTGATCCACTACACCCAGCCTTTTCATGTGGGTGCAGGGATCCCACTAGGGTCCTCATGCTTTCTGGCATGCACTTCGCTAAGCTGTCTCCCTAGCTCTGAAGATACGTTTTAAGAAATATTTCCCTGGCTCTCTAGATCTGGATACAGCACCTTTTGATTTACTTTCATGACACAGGAAACCTACTGTCCCCGTGAGTTCCCTCCGTTTTTTGTTGTCTTGTCTATTCAATGTCTTAGACTTTACTCTTGTAAGAATTTTCCGGGATTCATGGCAGCCCCAGTTAAAAGGTAGGTTTAAGAAAGAAATGGAAACCTTTGTTTATTCACTCTGTTCTCATCCATATGTATTTCCTGAAGGAATATACCAGCCATTAGCAGGAGGTGGGATTGTGTGGCCTTTTTATTATGCAGTACAGGGTTTAAACACTTCATTTGCATGTCAGTCACCTAAAAATCTGAGCTGTTAACAATCAATTCGTATTTACATTTGTTCGTGAAGAAAATAAATCCCCTAGAAAATGTGATAAGGCAGAGGTTCAAGTACCAGCACTCTGAGATGCCCACCCAGCGGAACAGCTTCCCCCTTTCAGGAGTGTTTACCAGGGCTCTCAGCCTGGTGCCCCCACCCAATTCCTGTGCCTGTCCCAGCTTTATCTTCACTTGACTTTGAAATCCCCTGCTGCCAGACCAGGTGCCCTTTGGCTAAGATGAGTAAACTGACTGAAAATTGGAAGGGAAACAAAAATTTATACAATATAATCTCATGGTCAAAAGTGTTTTTTAATCACACAAACTGTTTTTTATGGTTTTTTTAATGTATTTACTGAGCCAGTATGCTCTCAGGAAGGAAGACAGCCTTCTATGAAGTAGCTGAAAACTAACATTTTTCCCTCCCCATCCCACCCCGTAATACCCAGTAATGTGGTGTGAATGATTTGGATTTTACAGGCTAGTCTAACCATCCAAAGAGGAGGCTAAATGTTGGTGTCACCACAGTGAGCCCACTGCCATTTAGTTCACATAACTCAGCTTAGTGTAAATGTTAGGAGAGCTGACTGTAGAAACCAGTAGCTCGGACTTTGGATTGCTTCTCAGGATCACCACCGCCTTTAGAAAATAATTAAATGTGGGTTCATTTAAGTTCCTGGCTGAACACTGTTGTGTTGGTAATGGTGTTCCTGCCACATCAGAGAGCAGTGTATGGGATGATTCATTGGAAGACCTAGTAGCCGTTACAGGACTAGGAAGTACTACTGACTGAAGCAGAGGGGTTGAATAAAACAAGCTTGTGAAGTAACAAGAGTCCTCGGATACCAAGTGCTTCCCAGAGGCATTGCTTTCTGAAGTGTGTGCACAGTGTCTTGGGATTTTTGTTTTGTCTTGTTTTTCCTCTTGCTGCCATAAATTACTCTGGCAGAAACAACCCAAGGGTAAACTGGTTTGTTCTGAATCTCCTATCAAGGTAGAGTCCGTTGTGGCAGGGAAGTCAGCTTGGTGGAATTTGAATCAGGTGTCCTACATGACATCATCAGCCAGAAAGCAGCATGAGGAATGCATGCTGACCCTCAACTTACCTTCTGTGTTTACACACCCCAGGGTCCCAGCCAGGGACTGACACCACCCATAGTGGACAAGTCTTCCCACTTCAGATGACCCCTCAGACCATGCTGTGCCCAGGGTTCATCTCCCAGATGATTGCAGATTCTATTAAGTTGACAGTTACCACCAAACATCCCAGACAGAAATCTGATGACATTCTCCCTTAACAAAACCTTTCTGTTACTCCCTGAGACCTAAGGAACTAAAAGAGCATTACTTGTACCAAGAATATTCCAGGATCACAGCTAGGTAATGACTGGAAGGCATGTCAGAACAATTTAGAAATAGAAGACACTGGAGTATTTTTGTATCCCCTAATTTACTAGTAAGAATGTGGAATTGATGTAAGCTTTGAGGGGACCAAAATGCAATGAGATGCAAGAATGCCTCATCTTGGCCAGGCTTTGGTGTCGCACACCTTTAATCGCAGCACTTGGGAGGCAGAGGCAGGTGGATCTCTGTGAGTTCAACAAGAGCTAGTTCCAGGACAGGCTCCAAAGCTACAGAGAAACCCTGTCTGGAAAAACCAAAAAGAAATAAAAAGAATGCCTCATCTTGAGCAATTGAAGCACTCTCCCAGAAATAAGCTAATTTACTTACTGAATGGGTGGATTCCAAATTAAACAGAACAGGTATGGTAGGAAAGGAAGCAAAACCCAGATGACACAGGTGTAAGTATGGGAAGGCGACATTGTTGTCTGAAAGGAGACATGCACGCACACACACACACACACACACACACACACACACACACACACACAGAGAGAGAGAGAGAGAATATGTGTGTGTGTGTGTGTGTGTGTGTGTGTGTGTGTGATCTTTGTCTATGAGGGTGCCTTATTTGTAGGAAAGCTGAGTAGTTCTTCCATCTGTGACCCAGCTCCCAGGAACCTGAGGTAAGAGGATGCTATTATGAGTTTGAGGATGGCACAGTGATGTCAAGGCCAGCTTAGGCTACAGAAAGGCTGTTTAAAATGAAGAAACACATGAACAACAGAAAAGAACAGGATTCAAATGTCGCACCTGCTGTGCAGCCTGCATCCGAGAATGTAGCGAGGTGGTCGGGATAGATGACACAGAGACCGGTCGGTTGCTTTAAGAAAACTTTATGCTCCCCAAGTCGGCTTAGGAGAGCTCCCCAAGAAAAAAAACGCTTCCCTTTTTAAGGACTTCTGCCATCCATCTACATACAATTCTCCAACCGAGCTCTCACACACCTCTCACAGCTCTCCCAGACTGGCTGGTGGTTTAATCTCCAGCCCCAGAATCAGGGAGAAACCGAAGGGAGCAGGAAGGAACATCTAGCCGTAGGGGGGATCAAAGTCATGGTGTTTCAGTGAGCAAGCCCTTATCGGAGCCCTAACAAGAGCTTTATGGCACTGAATTGTTTTCAGTAAACATGTTTTCAGTAAACATTATCTCACAGCTGCCTGCTCCCAGGCCAAAGGGGAAGTGGGTTTCTGCTCAAGGTCTGGTGTCCCCACACTCAAATCTATATCCCATTCAAAGTTGTTAGAAGGCTGTTGCAGAAGAACTAACCAAAGACAATGCAAGAAATTTGAGAACCAGATTTAAAGTTAAAATTCTAAATAGGATGAAACAACATGGAGATATTTGTAAGTAAAAGAAAATCCATGTCATGAACAAAGAATGAACTAGCGTGTAGGGATAAATTAAATACCATATATAGCAAAGTTGGGTACACAGAGATTAGGTGCTAGCCCTCAAAAGCAATGGAAGGACAAAAAACAAAGATGCATGTGAAGAAAACTTTCTTAAAGCCAAGAGTAGAATTACTGATCAAAAAGAAACACTTTCGAGTGTGGAATTCAACAGAACAAGGAAGAAAAAGACAAATTCTTGTATCTCTGCTGAACTTGAAAGAAAAATGTTCCAGGTTCAGCGACAGGCCCACCACCTAGCTGCTTGGAAGTAGAGGAAGGAGGAGTGCTCATAGCCAAGAGTTGAAGGTCACCTAAGCAACATAGCAAGACTGGCTGTAAAAGAATATGGTTTTTAAAAAAGTAAAATGGGATACAACCAAGTTTCTTTCTATATGTTCCAAGTTTTTTTTAAATGCTACCATACAATGAAGTTAGATTTTCAGTTTCAAAGAAAATTTAAATTGTGTTTTCATTGTTGTTTTGTTTTTAAATATAGTCAAACTGACTCCTGAGTATAAAAACAGTCATTCTGAGTGAGCCTGTAAGAGCTTAGGGGAGGGTTACAGAGATAGCTTAGTAGGTCTCAGTGTTTTCACAGAACCTGATAACCTTAGTTACAGCTCCAGGTCTCACATGGCAGTAGGAAAGTGGTGACTCCTGAAAGCTGTCCCATGTCCTCTACATCCATGCCATGCTGTGTGTGCCCACATTGCCATAAGGAATGCAATTGTAAAGGTATGTTTTAGATGTGTTTTGTATGTATCAGTGTTCTGCCTATATATACCTATGTACATGTGCATTGCATTTGTGCAGGGTGTGGAAGTCAGAAGAGGGCACTGGATGCACTGCAACAGAGTTAAGGATGTTGTTAGCCACCAGGTGGGTTCTGGTGTCTGAATCCTAGGTCCCCTGCAAGGGCAGCGAATCTCTTAACTGCTGAGCCATCCCTCTAGTCAAGAATGAGTACATGGTGGGTGAAAGATCATGAGGCCCCAGTTCCAGACAAAGAACCATAGCCAACCAAGGAATTCTGAGAATAGGAGAAATAGTTTTCCTCAGGGAAGAGCATACATGTAACATTATACAGACAAAGCAGATTGTATTTATGTATTTTAGGAATATATATATATAAAGGAATATATATATAAAGATATATATCTTTAATTGTTGTTCTACACACACACACACATACACACCCTTGTATGCAGCACATGTAACACCAATTAAAGAAGGAATTTGAAGGAGAGCAAGGGGAGGGTGTATATGGGAAGGTTTGGAGGGAGGAGAGGGTGGGCTAGAAATGATATCAAAAAGAATACAAGGGATATGTCTTCTTTGCATCTTCCTGAGGAATGTACTGGGAAATGAGTTATACTGACTGATGGATATTGACATGAGAACTAACAGTGATCATTTTATGTGTATTGTGAAGTTAATAATAAATGATGTTTATTACGGAAGAATATTGTTGTGATTTGTGTTTGCTCTTTACTCTTTGGGGGCCCACCACCCAGCTCCCATATGAATCACATACAAAGACTTATTATTACTTATGAATGGCTGGCCTTAGCTTAGCTTATTTCTTGTCAGCTTCTCTTAATCTAAATTATCCCATCTATCTTTTGCTTCTGGGCTTTTCCCTTTTCTTGCTTTCACACTTACTCCATGGCTGGCTGAGTAGGTAGGTGGTGGCCCCTGATGTTCTCCTCTACTTGTCCTCTTGCTGCTCTCCTTTTTCCTCTTCCTCATTTCTCCTATTTATCCTCTCTCCTGCCTTGGTATTGACCATTCACCTCTTTGTTCCGAATGTCAGGTGTTATAGATAGGCAAAGAATCACAGCTTCAACAAGCAAAACAAATGCAGCATAAAAAGTCACATATTTATAATAATATTCTACTATGAAATATAGTATGAGTATGAGATACTGTTCTGAAAAGTGGAAGGAGAATGTACTTGACCCAGGAAGAGCAGCTGAGAGTTACCTTGTCATCACTAATTAGGAATAAAAGAATCTTTACTTAGA